CATTTTTATATTATGTATTATTATTTTTATGTAGGTATATACTGTCACCTACTAATAGAACTGATTATTTCCATTTTACACTCAGATTTATGACTGATGTTTAAAATTATTCAGTTTACAAAAAGCTTTAAAAATATCACAACTACAGGGTTCCCACACTTTTACTGAAGTCAAATTCAAGCACATTCAAGGTGCGTTTCCAGGACTTTCCAGCCGCTTCTACGATGAACACACGCTAAAGGTTTTCAAATATAAATAATTTCAGCTTCAAGCACTCATTTCACTGGTAAAACAGACATTTACTCATGTCTGCAAAAACGCTTGTAACAGATATAAAAAGTCTAAATATTCCTTTGACTTTGTAGATGTACGTAGATGTTTGTTATTTAAGGGGATCAGAAAGCTTATAGCTCATCTTTCTTGCCTCTGATGGGACAGGACGCCCCGGTGCCTTTCAGGCCGCAGTAGCCATTAGGAACCTTTTTCAGATACTGCTGATGATAATCCTCTGCGTAATAAAACTGCTGCCCCTCCAGGATCTCCGTTGAGATCGGACCGTACCCCTTCTTATCCAGCTCCTGAGGACAAAACACACACAGCTGCATGTTTTTGTCTATTTTAGAAGATTCAATTGATGCTTAAAGCAGAAACCTGTCGTTTTTTGTCAGAGTGCACCATCTAGAGGAAAATAAATGCATAGCACCGTAAGCCCTTCTCCCCACTTCCATCATTGCGGCTGAAATCCACGCCTCTCATCTAGCTGGCCAACAGAGCTACAACACATTATTTTACATTTTTTTTCACATTATGTTGCTTATTCATATGAGATGTCAACAACTTTGCATCAATCTAGGACAGTGGTGTTTAATTCTGGCCTGGAGGCTGTTTTAGTGGTTTCTCTGCTCCAACACACTTGATTCAGTGGTTGAATTACCTGTGCAGCAGCTCATCAGGCTCTGCAGAAGCCTGTTAATCACCTACTGATTGAAATCAGGTGTGATGAAGAGAACAAACTAAAACATGCTGGATTCCGGCTCTTCAGGCCTGGAATTGAATCCGCCTGGTCTAGGACTTCTGCTAACTCACACACCTGCTCTGTGTTAGAAATCTGTATGTAAGTGAATGTCAAATGTTACTGGCTAACACTTAGCAGCGCTCAATTTAAATAACAAGGGGCTCTAAGGGATGTTCTTGATTGGCCAGCAAACTCACCTGACCGTAACCCCATAGAACATCTATGATGTATTGTGAAAAGGACGATGTAATACACCAGACCCAACTATTCAGAAGAGCTGAAGGCCACGATCAGAGCAACATGGGCTCTCATAACACCTGAGCCGTGCTACAGACTGATGGACTCTATGCCACGCCGCATTGGTGCAGTAATCCAGGCCAAAGGAGCCCCAACTAAATACTGAGTGCTCTTACATGCTCTTACTTTTCAGTTGGCCAACATTTCTAAAATTCCTTTTGTTGCATTGATATTCTAACTTTCTGAGATACTAAATTTGGGATTTTCATTAGTTGTCAGTGTAATGATTTAAATTAGACATAGGATTCCATAGGAAATATGAAATCAACCTTATGGATATGTTGGGTTATTTTAACCAGAAGATTGGAACTTTTTATTGCAGAGATTAGATAACAACTTCGTGTTAACTCAGGGACAGCAGAAGAGAGAGAGTCGAGTTTAAAAGTTTAAAGATTTATTACTAAACAAATTAGACTAACTTTAACACTAAATGTATGGTGTAACTAAGGTGAATGAGACGGAGAATGGTGTAGTGTGGAATGTTGCTCAGAACCAGCAAATCCGAAGAAACGATTAGTTCTGATGGGAAATGAAGGTGGTGTCTTCGTGCTAAGCTTTGGTTAGGAGATTCATAAACGCATTCAACGCCATTTGTCGGTCTATGTACCCTTAGCGGAAGTCCCCGTCTAGATCAGGAGGTGTAAAGGTCCAGCTTGACCTTGTGGAGCCGGAGCCCGTAGAAACAGCCGCGGCAGCCGACCACCTGTCTTGAGATACTCCCGGGTCACGACAATTTTGTTGGCATCTAGCGAGACCCAAACCTGGGTCGTGATGATTCAGCTTTTATTCTGAAAGGAACCGTTGCAGCAGTTGGAACAGCAACAGATTTTATCCAGCTTGTCGTTGGTTCTTTTGGCTGAAGAGGAAAGTTACGGATTGGCCACTCCGACAACTTCTCTAGAACGCTTTGAACTGGCGTTAGAGATGACGTGGGCATAGTTTTATGCTTTGGATGTTTTGGTTTATGGTCGAATGAAAAGATGACAGATTTACCAAGCACCACCAAAACCACGCCTCCATCAGATCTGGCAGATTCTGATTGGATCAGTAAAGCAATGTGTCGTCTCTTAACACTACGTGAAATCAGTCCTATTGGAACATTTAAAGCCATATTAACAATTATATTCTATAGGATTATAATAAAGTAATTAATATTTTGATTTCACAGATTGGTCACATCTTATTTATTGACTAACACTTTGTTTGATTAGCTTTATTAAAATAGAGTTCTTTGATTTATTAAAAGGAGAGAGTCCATTCTTCATTCTCCTCTTGAGCTGGAAAGAAGCAGTTTAGAGCAAATGCATGAGACCTTGAGGCCATATCTCATGCAGACTAGTCCTCCCGAGGAGGAGGGGGGGGGGGGGGGGGTCATTTCATACCGTTACATCGGTTAGAAATGAACATTTGAAATATATCAGTTTGTGTAATGAATGAATCTAATATGCAAGTTTCACTTTTTAAAAGGTATTACTGAAATAAACCAACTTTGTCATGATATTCTAATTTTATGACCAGGACTTTTATGGATTTCAAAATAATCTTTCATAATTCCTGAAAAGGGGAACTTCCAGATTGCTGGAATTCCACAGTCTCTTTCATCTCCTCACTTGACACGCTCCAGATACGATACAGTCACGTTTTAAAACCAACATCTTTAAACTTATGGAACCTTTCACAATAAAATGATCATCAGTTTGTGTTTTTAGTGCAGAGCTTTCTGTAGGACAAAGCATCAAAGGGTATCTGCTTTCTTTGAGGACTCTTTCAGACATTTTCACAGATCTAAACACCACGAGAGACGCCTTCAAATGTGTAAGTGCACACACACACACACACACAAACACACACACACACACACACACACACACACACACACACACACACACACACACACACACACACACACACACACACACACACACACACACACACACACTCTGACAGGAGTATCAAAGGTGTGCCTGCTGCGCTGAGTGACTTTTTTCTGCCTAATAACACAAGCGCTCCAGTTCTCTATAGATCGGCACCCTTGGAGCTGACAAAACAAGTCTGAGGCGCCCTGAGACCGTCTGTGGGCAACAAGTAGCTCGCATGTAGCTCTGTACACCTCCGACGGGTTAGCAGCACCCAGGAGCTTTGTTTTGCTTTGTGGGGGGAGTCGGCTGAATTTGCTAAGGATCATAAAAAAGGAGCTGAGTGTATCCAATGTGGGCTCCAGCTGTTCCCTTTAGCCCCGCGTTCGGCTCTGAACGACTCTTAAGTCTTGTGTTTGGCACAAACTTGAACATTTCCAGGCTGTGACCATTTTCAGAGATGGGATACATTTTATGTAAAAGTTATCTCTGCATTATGTAACTTAGTGCCTCTAACGGTGATTGGTTTAAAAAGAGCAGGGAGTGGAGGATGAAGCCAACACCTAAATAAAAAGGTGCTGCAGAGAGAGAGAGAGAGAGAGAGAGAGAGAGTCCTGCTGAGTGTGTTTTATCACCTTGTCGGGCTTTAACTGGTCTGTCTTTACTGGTTTACGCTCTCCTCCCTCTTTAACCAGCAGCAGCAGAGCAAACAAAGATAAACACAAGTTTTCACCCCGAATCGCTGCTCATGACTACAGATCATCTGTTATTTAGACGTAACTGAAGGATAGATTTAATCTCCTTTTTTAAATTGAGAGTCATGCTTCATTCACTGATGGATAATCCCACACATTTTGTAGGTTTGAATCCGTTAATGTGAAGTTTTATGTTCCGTTTACACATATAGATGTATGATGGGGTTCTTTGTGAAGCTCTTCTAGTTCGTTTCCATCTTCACTGTAATAAAAATGTAATTACAACATCTTTTCTCTCTAATTCAGAGTGCTGCAACATTTACAACCATAAGGTCGATAAATCCTCTCAATAAATAAAGTTTAAGAAAACACTGGACGCTTAATTCTGAGATAATTGGTTTAGTGTTTTAAAGAGAAATACAGTACAAATAAATGATAATTAATAAACGGTTATTAATATTTTCATATAAAGACAAAATAAAAACAAAACTCTCGTGAAGATCTATACATTAATAAGACTGATTTGATTAATAAGATTAGTTAAAATAATATGATTACTTTTATCAATATGATTAATAAAATTAATTAAATATGATTATTTAGATTAATATGATAAATAAGCATCCTAGATAAAAATTAAAGAGTTACACAAATATGATGGGTTGGTTTAATATTTTTAGTTGACTTACTGAATTTCTTATAAGAAAAATGCCGTTTTTATCGAAGGCCGGCCATCATTTCTACTTATCGTTTATGGAAAGTTTTATTTCAAGGTGTCATGTTAATGTGAGCAAATCTGCCCTTTATGTTGCATGTCTGCACAAGGTAAAATATAAGGAAAATTAAATTGTGAGGTGAATTTCAGACAAAAGAGCTGTTAGATGTTGGAATAATAAAGTGAAACTTCAAGTATCAATAAGTTGTTAAAAAAATCTTAATTATTGTTGTTAAATTAGATTTTATTCAGTTTCACGCAGCCACAAATTTCTGCGCCCTCACTCTGGGTACTTGTAAATTAAATATTTATTCCACTTTTATACATAATTATTCATATTTGGGCTGTTTGAACCAAACTATCTGAATTCATTAAAAAAATAATAACTGGAGTTTTCTGTGACACTTCAGATTCTGCTGTGATTTCTCTAAAATATAAAATTGAAATGCTTTTTTTCTGCAAAGATCTATAATAAAATATCTAAAAATCAACACCTGATCAAAAGTATGGTGGGTCTATTGTCAGCTACAGTTAATTAAATCTGACAGAGAATTGTTTCAGTTACACCAAAACTTTTAATCTATTTGGCAAATTCTCATTCACAGTAAAGCAGATTTTAATATTTAGAGCACCAGGATTAGATTATGAATCAGAAGGTCACACGGCGTGCAGAAACGATGTCATCAGACAGTTAAAGTGGTCAAAAACGTATCTGCAGAGGTGTGAATGGCATCCCGTCTCCGCGGAGAACAGCTAAAGACTTGAGCAACAAGCCTTTTAACTTTAAAGACCTGCAGACGTCTGCAGAAGCGGAGCGGTTCGGTCTCAGAGGAGAGGCCATGGAAGCTCGTGAAGGACATTATTGACTGCTTGTGTCACTGGTAAAGAATCTTTTTGATCCTCTGACTCAAACACGTCATATCTGCAGAACTGGCAGAGTTGTAGCCATTTTGGAGTTTTCACAAATCTTCTGTGAATCAGAGACTTCTAACGTTAATTA